TTGATGAGCGTGATTCACAGGTCACAGTGGGCCCCAAGAATAGACGTGATGAGCGTGTTGGAAGGTCGTCTCCAAGGAGTGCCACTCCCGAGCTTCGAGGGCGGACCGTAACTGGAAGCCCAGGCCGTGGTGTTCGTGCTGGATCTGCCAATGCTCTTCAAAGGGGTCGTTACCTTAGGCGTGGAGCCGATGACTTGCTCAAGGGCTTGAGTGATGGAGATCTTTGTGGTGTGAGGTCAACCGAAGCGGCCTACAATGCGAGGGCTGCGGAGTCAGGGCCTACGTTTGGGGACTATGAGTTGGACTTCCCTCCAGGCCTGACGGCCCCGGATGGACCCAAGCAACAGGACCCTTAGAGGGATGACGGTGTGGTTTTTTCCGCGGCGCCGCCCACCATGCCGAGCGCTTCCCAGCCCAACCCGTTGGATGTGTTGATAACGGGAATGTCGCAGTTGCAGCAGGTACTCCTGAGACAGAAGGCGGGTGAGACGCTGGACCTGGAGCTGAAGGGCGTGCAAGAGCTTCCGAAGTTGCCGGAGTACACGCCGGAGTCCGGGGCCACAGATTTTCAGGATTACCTGTACCTTACGGAGCAACAAGTTGGAAGCTTGGCTTCAGGGGCGGCAGAATGGTGGCAGCAGACGCTTGGTGTGGCTCAGACTGCGTATGCCGAGTATCAGTCGCTGTCGCCGATGAAGCGCCTCAGTGTGAAGGCCACCCTTACGCCCGAGCTCAAGGCCGACAAGTACAAGAAGCTGGAACGGAAGGTGGCCTCGCTCGTTTTGAGCTCACTCCCCAAGGGGGTACGAGATGAGTTGATAGCTCATCGGGTGCAGGGGCTGCACCAGATTCTTTTCAGGCTGATGGTTGTTTTCCAGCCGGGTGGCGCGCAGGATCGCGCACAGCTGTTGAGGCAGCTGGATGTCAGTGAGAGCAGCACGGGCCCAGCAGAAGCAGTGGTGGCGATCCGGAGATGGTACCGCCTATTGCAAAGGGCGGCCGACCTCAACATAGCCCTTCCTGATGAGTCGCTGCAGGTTCGCTCTTTGTGCAATATTGTGAAGAAGACGGCGGAGCAGTTCGGGGACTTTAAGTTCCGTGTATCCTTGGCGAAGACGGAGCTGCAGATTGACTCGAGGCCATCCCAGGCGAATGTGCTGAGGTTTCTTCAACACCTGCTTGCAGAGTTGGAACAGCTCGGAGGAGGGGTCAAGAAAAACGTGCCTGCGGTTTCTCATGGGGCTCCTACAACGACGGCTACTAGTACAGCACCCGCTGCTCCATCCTTGAAGGGCGTGCAACCTTCGGTGGAGTCTGGAGCTGGTGCCAAGACAAAGGCGAAGTCCGGGGCTCCAAGCCCTAAGAAACCGTGCCAGTGGTTTGGAACAGATGGGGGATGCCGGAATGGGAAGCAATGCTCGTTCGTTCATTCCTGGACGGGCCTCAATCGGGGCGAGAGGTGCTTGCTGTGTGGCTCCAAGCACCACAGAGCGAAGGAGTGCGGCACGAGAGACCAGGCCTTGCCCGAAAGGCCACCGCCGCCACCAAAGGCTACGGCAGCGGCGCTGGGAACTACATCTACTCCCCCTCCGGCAATAGCGCCCTCTCCCGCGAAGGCAAGTGCAGCTTCGTCTGGTCAGGCTCCTTCATCGTCAGCTACTACAAGCAGTGCTGCCTCCTCGGGAGGTACCAACAACAAGATCGATGCAGCTAAGATGACTGAGATCTTGAACGAGACCAACAAGATGTTGAAGGCTTTCACCTCNNCCGGTTCAGCAGCAGTTGGACCCGCTCGCCTTGATCCAGCAGCAGCTTGATGAAGTTCGGAGGCTGAAGGCCATTTCAGTGCGGCCCCCGAATGATCACGGCTCTGATGGGAGCCCTTCGTTTAGCAGTGCAGTGGCTTGGTACGAGGCGAGATTGAGTTCTACTTCGGTGGCTATTGGTGAGCCAGGTCCTGAGCAAGAGGCCCTGCTTGATAGTGGGGCGAGCCATGCCTATCGCGCCATTCATGAAGGTGATCGAGGAGATCAGATTAAGACGGTGGCGGTGACTTTGGCAACAGGCGAAGAACGCCATCTTCAGCAGACAGCTGGAGGAACCCTTCTTGGAGGAGGAGAATCCGAGGCTATCGTCCCAATGGGACAGCTGGTGCGATTGTTGGGGTGCAAGGTGTCCTGGTCCCCGTCTCGATTGACGGTTGTGCACCCTCTTCATGGCAAGCTGCGTGTTCGACTAAGGGGGAACTGTCCAGTGCTCCCCATCTCCCAGGCGATGACTCTTATAGCTGAGCTCGAGCAGGCCCGCATAAAGGAGTTTGAGGCTACGATCGAGGACCTGAAGAAGCAGGTGAAGGTGATCCGCGAGCGAGGCAGAGAAGAGTGGACGTGGGAGAGGCATCNNNCCGAAGGAGGGCTGGAGGCTCCTCAAGGGAATGCCCTGGTCAAGGAGCAAAAGGAAGTCGTTGCTGCAGAGCGACAACTGGGTTGTCCACTTGTGTTCGGGTGATGGGAGGACCTGGGATGCAAAGGAGCAGGGATCTATGAGACGAGCCTTTTGGAACAGCTCGTTGAATGGTGATGAGGTTTTGGTGGAGGTGGACTTGACTATGTCCCGCAGTATGGACCTGTTGCAGCAGAAGGCGGTGTTTCAAGTGTTATCATGGGCGGCCCTGTCTGGAAAGATCAAGTCAGTGGTTGGTGGGCCACCCAGGCACACGTTTCCAGGCGAGGCAAAGGAGGCTTCGCTGCCGCCGCAGAAGCTCAAAGAGACCAAGCTCCTGGTGCGGATGTTGATGCTGTGGTACATGGCGCAAGAAGGACGTGTGACTGCTTGGCATGTCGGAGCGCTACGACAACCCCCAATAAAGCCGCACGTTGGTTTGCTTGTGGAACACCCTGACAGTTGTGGAGACCTACGCTCTTTCTTTGATCAACCTATGTGGAAGGTCTTCGCTGAGGAGGAGATGATGGGTGAAGTACGTTGCCATATGAATGGTCGCCCGACTGTGCTGGGCGGCAACTTGGACCTATGGCACCTCGAAGGTGCCTCTGTGGGGGCCCTGGATGCAAAGGACCCTGCAGGCTCAGTTTGGCCAATGGAGTTGGTTGCTCATGTGGCTGGAGCTCTTCGTTCATGGAAGGGACTACGGAGCAGGGAGGGCGTGTTGTCCTCTTTGGTGCGACGTGTTGACTACGAAGGCGGGGAAGTGGCCCCTTCGCTCGCTAAGTTCAATGCCGATGAGTGGCGCTTGCACCTGCAAAGGGATCACTTGCCCTATAGGCGGGATTGCAGGATATGTATCGAGAGGGCCAGTGGTAAGCCTCACCGCAAGGTCACCCATCCGTCTGCTTACAGCTTAGCAGTGGACTTGGCTGGTCCCTTTCGCAAGGTTGGTGTTGGTGGCTACAAGTACCTTATGGTGGGATGCTATCGGTTTCCAAAGTTGGCGGGTATTCCAGCCACCAAGGATTGCGACCCACCCGAAGCGGCGGCTGTTCCCCCAGACGATTGAAGAAGATTGGCTATTGGACGACCCAGAGCGAGGCCGTGATGAGGAGCCAGCAGCTGGTGGTGTGGGAGAAGTTATTTTCGATGATGTTGTTCGAGATGAAGGGAAGGTGATCGAGGAGGAAACGCCGTTGGACAAGGAGGTGGAGGCCTTGAAGGAGCTTGCGTCCCCTCTCGAGTTCACTTCAGTGTACTTGGCACGGCCA